CTTCCCTGACCTGTCCCACTGCAGGTGCTCGCCTCCAGCTGCCACGCGAGCAACCCGGCTCAGATCGAAATATCACCTTGAATTGATAGCACATTATAGATTGCCCTGCAACTCTGCTAGCGGTTGATCCTTCCTTTCTTCTATTTGTCGCTTTCACTAATGCTTCTGTTTCCACCGTTATGGTGCGCTCCTGTTGAAGCGCACTCTAGGTCCCTCCCCCCTCCCCATTAACCTCACCTCTTTTCCTCGCCCTACCTTCTTCCCCATGCCCCCTCGCCCCTGCCCTTCCCTACCCTGTCCCACTGCACCCACGTCCAGCTGCCACGCGAGCAGCCCATTAACCTCACTTCCCTCGCCCCACCCCTTCCTCACCCCCCCCTCGCCCTACCTTCTTCCCCATGTCCCCTAACCCCTGCCCTTCCCTACCCTGTCCCACTGCACGCGCTCACGTCCAGCTGCCACGCGAGCAGCCCGTGCAATGGCTCGGAGTGCACTAAGTGGTTGTCTTATATAGTGGAGTTATCGCAATCAAAACAGTGGGTTCATACATCTATTCTTAAATCCTTCATTCTTTTTTATACATATATTCATTAGGTACTTAACGCCCTTCCATTCCAAGTAGGCGAGAGTTTTTCCAACGCCCTTCGATTCCATGTGGCTGTAGCAGTACAAAGTTTCCAAGAAGGTACGGGCGACGACATGTGGGGAGGATATTCTTCTCGAGTTGCTCGATGTAACCGCCAGCGCTCATTCAGTCCGGGGTCCACGAAGAAAATTCGGTTTTCCCATTCCAGGTACGTCCGGTCCATACCATCAACCCGCGCCTTGGCGACTGCGGTAGACCGTGGCGACGTTGTCGGAGCTGCTCGATGTTGGAGGTCATCCAGATCGAGAGTACTGGTCTCCAGGTAGCTATCCATGGGTGACTCCATACTAGAAGTTTCGCAGCTGTTTGGAGGTGACATGAATTCCAAAGGTCTTCTCCAGTCAGGCTGCGACTGGAGATGACTTCATATTTTGGTGTACATGAAGGTGATGGGCGAGGGCCAGCTCCTGCTTATCGAGGAACATCTTGGGTATCTTCCGCCCTGGTACTCGTATCCACGTCCTCTGTCTGGGCCAACGAAACCAACTTTGCCATTTAGTTTATATTTTTATTTACCATGGAGCTTATCGCAATCAGAACAGTGGGTTCATACATCTATTCTTAAATCCTTCATTCTTTTTTATACATATATTCATTAGGTACTTAACGCCCTTCCATTCCAAGTGAGCGAGAGTTTTTCCAACGCCCTTCGATTCCATGTGGCAAACCTGTAGCAGTACAAAGTTTCCAAGAAGGTGCGGGCGACGACATGTGGGGAGGATATTCTTCCGGAGTGGAATAGCGCCGAATGTGACACGCCCAGCCGCTGCAATTCACTCCGGCAGTCCTCGCAAGTAAATCGGTTTTCCATCCGTACTTCCCGAGTCCACCACCATCAACCCTTGGACTTCGGGCGACTGCGGTGAGGATGATGTCGTAGACCGTGGCGACGTTGTCGGAGCTGCTCGATGTTGGAGGTCATCCAGATCGAGAGTACTGGTCTCCAGGTAGCTATCCATGGGTGACTCCATACTAGAAGTTTCGCAGCTGTTTGGAGGTGACATGAATTCCAAAGGTCTTCTCCAGTCAGGCTGCGACTGGAGATGACTTCATATTTTGGTGTACATGAAGGTGATGGGCGAGGGCCAGCTCCTGCTTATCGGGGAACAGCTTGGGTATCTTCCGCCCTGGTACTCGTATGCACGTCCTCTGTCTGGGCAACGAAAACTTTGCTATATTTATATTTTATTTATGTTTATATATTTATACGAGACTTTTTTCTCTGGGGTGACTTTGACCCTCTGATCGCAAACATCACACTTATTCGAAGCAAATTCATTTCTGAAATGCGCTGCGCTACGCAGCGAACACCTCAGAGTCAGAATAAGAATGATTCCATCTGGAAGTCATTCGCAGCGCTTAAAATCAGAGATTGTAAATGGTAGAAACAACAGAAGTGTCACGCAAAAATAATTTGCAAGCGCTCGGCCTACGTCCCAAGGAAATCCAAAGAAAGCGCAGGCACCAAAGTTTTGAAGTTTGGTATTTTTCGTGTGAATCCGCCTACCCACCAGGTGCTCCACCGGGGAACGATCCCCCAAAATTTTACAAGAAAGCAAGAGAGGCAAGAAAATGGCTGACAGCTCCGTCTCCAGAATGGTGCAGCAGATCTGAAGGTCAGTTTCGAAACCAGTATCTGAAAGCAATGCTACCAATGCATCTGATGTTGCAAGGCCATGGCTTGTTTGTATCCTTCTAGGAGAAGTGGCCAGAGGGTCGCGAACGTTAGAGTGGCTACGGTAAGATACTGTAGCCACCACCTAGCGCATATCCCGAGGCCTGCCTGCGGCATGACCTCACTTAATTGCTGCGCTGACTGCTGACCTCTCACTGGCTGCTCAACGAACGAGATGAATCGAATCGAATTCATCTAGTAGTAGGATTTGATATGTGAAGATCAGTAATTCCCTAATTCCATATTGAATGACGATAATGTTCGTATCGATGAAAACCCTGTTGAAATTTTCAGAAATTTCCGTTTTTAGATGCACCCACACATCTTGTGATCTTCCAAAGGCAAATCATTGGGATGGTCCATAAGTAATGACGTTTTTTTTCTAACAGAGATTTTCAAATGAAAAGTGACAATTGTTCCCAATATGTTATATCCGTTCTATTAGACAGTATGGTTACACTCTACTTCGCTGCGGACGGTTGGGCGTGTCAGCGTGTGCACAGCGTTGAGCCGTTCTCTGCCTTCTTGTTGAAGCGCGCATGCGACAAAAAGTGGTAGAAAACGAGTAATACGAACGATATGATACAGTCATATCATTTGCTCGCTTCAAAAACTGGTGGAGAACGGGTTTGGCACCGCGCCAAACGCAGCCGCACTGACACGCCCAACCGTCCGCAGAGAACTATACTATACCTTCCCGCTCTTTCTCATTTTTGTTGATTTTCATTTCATTGAAATGGAATTGAATTCGACCCAAAAGTGAATTTTCGACAACACCTGTTTGCACTCTATCTCGTTTCCCGAATTACAGAAGAAGCTCAAAACTTGTGGTATATATGACCAAGCAAAGCTGCTCTTGATGACAGCTTAAAGTTGGCTTAGGCCATCAAGATCTGGGAATTCGGACCCTGTAAATGTGCATCATGGGATTCCTCTTGAGGAGTGACTGCTTGCAGAACCTCCCCTAACTTTTGAATGCCTTGAGGAGCGACTGCTTGCAGAACCTCCCCTACTTTTGAACGTAAAACATCGAGGAAAGGTGATGCTTGATCACATAAGGAAGGATTTGATGATCCACAACGATTCCACAATCTTTGGCATGAATCTCCGTGAATTAGGTAACTCAGTAAGCACTCAGTCGGACTCAATAGGGCGTTAGGTTCGATGCTTGTCTGTGAGGTCGAAATTGAAATCGTTGAATAATTTGAACGATCATAAGCGTTCCTAAGAGACATAGTCTCTTGGCCATATACTTAGCAACTGGGCCTATGCGGTTTTCGGTTTTTAATTAGAGGTGAAAAAGGGAGGCTGTCGAACATGCTCGATTTCGTCGACCTGACACTGCAGCTTGAGCACTTAAATATTAGTGTGAAGAGAAAGTTCAAAAAAAGAGGACTATCGTATAGGGCAAGGAAATCTCTGCAAAACAATATAAAACTCAAGTGGCAGAACATTCGATTCATCACGTTTCGTTGAGCAGCCAGTGAGAGGTCAGCAGTCAGCGCAGCAATTAAGTGAGGTCATGCCGCAGGCAGGCCTCGGGATATGCGCTAGGTGGTGGCTACAGTATCTTACCGTATGCCACTCCAACTAAAGGTGCTCACCCGTGGCCAGATGACGTCGTCTTGTGGGTAAACAAGCGTTAACGGGGCCCAGTGCCCCATATGAGTCCTTTTCATCAGCCACTCAAGCAGTTTCCATACGGGCACCGTGTCTCATATGCACTGCGGCAACACATTTTATATAAATCGCGACAAGATGCATGTAAGCTTGAGCTATCTAGCGTTAACTGGCAGAATTCGCCCATAGGGCGTATGCAATAATCTAAATTTTATAGCCTACTACAGAAAGCAAATATGTACTCAGCTACCCAGGACGTAGAAGGTAACTCATTTTGAATCCCCGCTTCGACCTACCATCTTTTCTTTGTTGCGAGGGACAGCAGTTTGCATAACAGCTCTGTATTACCGTGTGATAGCGTCATCGACGATGATCATATGCTTGACGGACAACCTTCTGCGAGTACGGTTTTGCATTTGTATAAACGTAACAGCAAGGGAGAAAGTTTCGATTTGCCGTTCAGGGTTTGGATTTAGTGCACTACTTGTCCGTTTTTGCCCTGATTCGCTGAACATTCATCCTTTCGCAAGTTTGTTCAAGTTGGTAAGTTCAGGAAGTCAGGGTGTAAAGCACCCGTAAAAATTGAATGAATTGAATGTGTTGCGTCATGAACGCACACAGTCGGGCACCAGTTTAGTTTTCTCAGTTCGAAGTACTTTTATTAGCCTGCGTTATACGCTTTTTTGCACAACCTTCACCCCAACTCTTGTGCGTGCCGAGGGGATTGGGTGGGGAGCTCCGGGCTTGGGCTGCTAAACGAGAGCGACGCGAACGGTACCCCTAGGCGCTCCCACGCTCAGCCCTGGATACCGTATCCCACGTGCCGCACCAGAACCCTGCCCTAATCCCACGGTAAACCAAGCTGTGAGGCCCGACACATTTATTTGCGCAAATTTCGGAGTACTGTTCACTTGACTCCCCGAGCTTCCTCTTATCGTCTTTCCTAATGTAGCCTCTTCCAGTTTTAAAAAGAGAAGAAATGCAACTACAGAAAGATACACGCTAAAGATACTTCTTTGTAGGGAGCGGACCGTGCATGACTGTTTTCTATTTTTCCAGGTAATCGATTTTGGTTCGGCTAGTCACAGGAGTAAAGCGGTTACTAACACTTATCTTCAAAGCAGGTACTACAGGTGAGTTATTTTATGTAAGCCTGAAAAGGGCTCTTCGAATGTAGAATCGCATTGCCGGATTACCGGCTTTGCCGGGCCATCCTTTTTCGTGCGCAGAGGGTCCTCCTCCTTTTTTTTAGAAAGGGCTAATGGAATCGCCCGGCTTCGCCGAACTTTTTACCAAAAATGTCCGAACTTTCCTGAATTCTGCCGTTTCGTTCATTGTATGTCGCCCCTCTCCTGAAAGGCAGTCCTCGAAATCCTCTTATATAAGCCACTAACTCTGTATTAGGTTGAAAAGAAAGTCTTGTGACACTTTGACCTAATTCTCGGACCGAATTATCCCTCACTAAGAGCACCTCCAATCTACAAGGTAATCACCTTTGATGACTAGGACTAGTGCCCACCTTTTGCACAGCTTCTCATTTCCATTCTTATAGAACTACGGCAACTATGATAAAAGAAGAGGTGGACCTCATTTTCGAGTAGACGTCGATTTTCGGAATTTTTGCTTTTTAAAGGATGCGGTAATGAAGGAGGTGGTAATTAGAGGCTGCTAACTTTGGTAAATAAGCTGGTACGGTCGCATTCCCTGATCGAGATCCATGATCTTTTGGCGTAGCTTGATCCTCACATGCCTCTTTTGCCAAGTAGAAAGAAAATGAGTGTTTCTGAATGAATTCAAGTGTGACCTCATCCATGTTTCGATGTTGATTAGTGTCGACTGTGGCCGTCATTACTGTGCCAGTATCCATAGACATCGCTTTGAAGTCCCACCATTAACAGTGAAATCTTTATCCCATGCACATCTGCTTTTGGCTAAGCAATCTACTTTTCTCCTTGAGAGATCCTGCGAGGGATGTGTGCATAGTTTACGCAAGGACTCCAACACTCGCTACCAACCACAAGATCTCACAAAAGTTCTTCCAGTGTGTACAAGGAAAAGAAAATTCAGTCACGACCATTCGGTGCGCTTTGTCGAACTGGTGCAACCCACGAAGATCTTTCACAAAAAAATTTTCCCTATAATCGAAATTACGGAGAAGCATGGCAGTTGTCGCAGCTGTCACTTAGGTGCAGCCTAGAGAGGTGCCAGCTAACTTATGCTTACGTTTGGCTGCGCTTTCAGAAGGTTGAGTGAAAGGCCGTCATTTTGTGCTGGTGGCCGACCTATGCCTACCTTCAATTCAATAATTCCAGTTTGCAAGCGCTAATACAAACAGGACACCCCACCATGACAAGCGACATCCTTTCTGAATACAACGCAGGTGTTAGCTCCCTCGACTACGGCGTAGTGGCCTTACAGGAACTCTTAATATGGAATATGCTAAAAAGTGCCTTGACCTTTGGGGGGACGTATAGGCTTAAGCCTCCACAAATCACAATACACCCGTCTTGCGACAAAAAGTGGTAGAAAACGAGTAATACGAAGGATATTATACAGTAATGCACTTGTCCGCTTCAAAAACTGGTGCAGAACGACTTTGCCAAACCGCACCAAATGCAGCCGCACTGCCACGCCCCACCGGTCCGCAATGATGAGGACTGTACGTCAGACTGGTGCCACACATGTGGTATCCTCCACAGGATATATTCCCGATGACCGTGATTGCCGCTCAGTATGATAGTTGTCACTTATGAGATTAACTGGTTTCATGTCGAAAGAAATAGGCTGCGGCTTCAGAGTCTTTCTTTCTAGTGGGCCGAAAATTACAACTGGTGTGGTCGTAGCCGTGTCTCAAGCGGTTCTGTGACTCAATTACTAGCATAGTACGTTTCGACGACCGTTCATGAAGATTGTTGTCGCTGTTGAACAACGACTGTACCACTTCTTCTCTGCATATGCCCCACAAAGCTGGATGCTCTTAGCCATCTAAAAGCGAGTTCCGGACTCTGCTGGAGAAAAAGCCACCAGAAGTTTCCGGACCAAATCTATCGATGATAGCCGAATTGTGCTTTGACTCAGTTCAACGGGAATATGTGTTTCTGAAGGCATATTGAAGTTCGCGAATGAGTATCCTTACAATGGCACAGAAGGAGTCGAGCTTTTGAGTGGCTCAGAATGTCGCCCAAGGGTGACCCATCTAAAATATCTTCTGAACTAGCGGGTCTTCAGGAAAACTGTAGAGCTTGTTGGAAGACGTTTCTAGTTTTGCAAAAGATTGCGTTGAAAGAAGTTATTCTCGTCTGAAGCGTGGAAACCCGCTTCTGATTTACCACTAACGCGTCCGTAGCCCATCGAAATATTTCACGAATGGGGAAGGATGCCGATTGCGAGCAGGTAGAAAACGCAACGTAGAGACATTGCTTCAAAATGCCACCTTCCATTTCTCAGAAGCCTTACACGTGAAAGAGCTATCACGCCCAGAAGAAGCGCAGCGATTTCCACCCAGCCAGCAGATCTCCATAGGCTTGCCACGTCCGCAAGCGCTTCCGAGTCGTTGCGTATCTGATCCTTCTTGTCAGAGCAAACAATTAGAACCGGAAAGAGGAGGGATTCATACCAGGATTCTTGTCCCCATCATTCCACACAGTACTGACACCGCCATTACACACAGTACGATGCTGTACCCTGTGTACACAGAGTCATACTGTAGAAGTTGTCAACTCTCGCGGACCGTCGTTTTTCTATGTACAGTAGTGACTAGTTACTTGTTTCATTAGTTGAAAAGTGAATGTTTTCTGATGTGTTTTAAATTGCCAAAGAAATCAAGCATGAGCGCGATTACCTGAGGGCGCACAATTCGTTAATTGTTAGGTCATCCCATTCAAACTGGCCGCTACATATAGAGGAATGGCAGAAAAGCAAAGGGGATAGAGCAGCGGGCTACTATACCATTTGGAAGCTAGTACCTTAAGCTGTGTATCTGTGAAATTTGGCGAACCTAGCCCCTGAAGAAGTTCTCGAGAAATTGAAAAGAAGCCCGAGTGGTGAAAATCGGCGCCGGTTTTTCAAATCAGACGTCATAAGAGGAAAGTGCGCTGCTCAAATTTGACCTGCGCCGGACCATAGTTGTGTGTAAGGGTGTTCTCGAAATACACGGTGGAAGATTTGGTTCAGGAGCCCGTACAAGGAAGAAAGGAAAAAATTTGTTGTCGTGGATGGTCCCATCCTGCACAAGAAAAAAGGGTGGATGAAGTCAAGCGCTGAATGTCTGATCCCAGAGCCTGGACCTTTGTCGAGCTTCCCCGCGAGTCTGACATCCCAGCTGCAACTGCTGCCCGAGTTATGTCCGATAAACTGAGGATGGTCAAGAGGGTGTGCGCATGGGTACCTAATTTTCTTGTAGAAGCACGAACGCAGTACCGATTCTATACCTCTAGCAGTAATGTTCTCAGCATGAGATGTCACTCACAACTGTGAAAACGCACCCAGGCCTTAGATGAAATATGGGTGGTCTCGGACCTCGAGCCGAAACTCACAATCCTCAATTTTACCATGAAGAGTTACGTGGGCGCAAGTGGATGATCATCATAGCAAAGGATTCCCACACTGTGGCTTTCAAGCGGCTCTATACAGAGAACAAATCCGTCACTGTCGGTGCATATTGCCTGTTCCTCGGCATTCAGATCGACAAATGGATGCTACCACACAACTACAAGAAGGCCACCGTTGCTCGTCATAGTACCAGACCCCGAGTAACTGTATTGTAGATCAGTGCTGGGACACAAACAATACTGAGACCTGGGTTCAATCGCCCCATTCGCCCGTCATAAAGCCATGCGATTACAACTGTTCTATTCAGTTGAGAGTACTCTCCGACGGCAGACGCTGTTTTGTCATTTGCCGAAATTGGCAACAACAGCAATTTACCCACACTTGTTGAAAAATCGAAGGTACCAGAGGTCCAAAGGCCCTCGGGGCACTGGGAGCGGGTCATTGGTGAAGGAGGGATTTACTCATCCTAAAGCTAAAATATCACTTTTCTATCTATTCTCCTCTTTGTTTTATTCAAAAAAAACCAGCGGCCACTTTGAATGGGATGACCTAATAGTATCAGATCCATGTGGGAGAACAAGAATGTTGACTTGTACGACGGTAACCGTATATGCCACGTCGTACTCAATAAGCCACCCTTATTTTGATTGGAGAAAAATGCGCGCGCGGTCCCCAATGGATTAGAAAGCTCATCAGTATCCCACCGAAGAGATCCAGTGACTTTACAACGACTTAGGAATGGAAGACAGACACACTACTTTGTAATCTTTTCGTAAATCCTGTCGTCTAAATTATGCTACCGTTTGTCATTACTAGCATGAATGGTCTCAAGTCCAAAATATGCTTTGAAATTTTCTATTCTTTTTTTTCGTTAGGTGGAACGCACCTCTCCAATTTTTCCGTTGCTTGTTTTTTGTGAAGTACAGAGTATATTGGCAATTTACACGGGACATGGATTCATGCAACCGCCCCTTCCATAGAAGGCTCTCGCTGAATACCTTTTCTCATGCGCCCTGCCGTACTTCTCATAAAGTGTCTTACTGTATCTTCGAATTATAGTTCCGGACATAATGCTCTTTGAAACTCAACTTAGCTGTTATAGAGCACCAGAGATCATACTTGGTTTACCCTTCCGGGAAGCTATAGATATGTGGTCCCTAGGATGCGTCATAGCAGAACTTTTCCTTGGTTGGCCGTTATATCCAGGAAGCAGCGAATATGACCAAATCAGGTGCGTGAACTCAGTACTGCTCAATGTTATGTGATGATTACATGCTTCGTCATTGCGTTTTGCTGAAATGCTATTCAAAAATTCCCAATCAGGCATTGCTTTTGTCTGCAAAACAAGTAAGGAAAAAAGCAGTAGAGGAAACAAGAGTGCTATAAGTGCTATCCGTAGATGGAAGGTCTCACAAGGGAGGTGTTTCAGGTCATGTGGTGTTTCAGGGCTTTTTGGAAATGGTTTGTTGCTTGTTGTAGGGGTCCATACAAGGGTCACAAAAATGGGTTTCATTTTTGCTATGCGTTTCTGTGTAGGTCAAACTGAGTGAAAAGAATTTGACAAGAATGGGCGGTTTTAACAACCTTAATGGGCTCCGTTCTGCTTGTAACTTCGAGCATGCATAGTTTATGAGGTGGTCACTAATTAGGCCTCAAAATAGATTCGATTAAAGTCAAAATGTAAGTATCATGTGGTAACACACTTGGCATGCATCGACGCAAGAGTGATGTCAGCGAACCCTTCACGGTCACTGCCAAGGGATCGGATGGCGCAGTGGATAACACGACGGGTTCTGGATGGCACGGCAAGGGGGACTTTGTGGATCGGATCCTCCTCGCGGAAAATGTTTTGCATTTTTCAGCTTTCCATTCATTCGCGTGCCTGTGTGTCTGGCAGTGGAAATAAGTCAAGTATATGCCATTTGAAGGCATATACTTGTGGCCACATTGTGGCCTGAAAGCGTGCTTGTGCTGCCCCTCGTAGCTCATGTCAGAAGGGTTATTGCAATGAAATACCATCACATTTATGTTCAGCGGGTTGGATTACCCCTGGGGACTAATTTCTAGCCAAATCTGACGTTTCGACCTAACTTGGAAAATGTGGGCCATTCTATGGACATTAGCAGCAGGCTGGGGTCCACCCACCATGGATGACTGGTCTTGGGATGGAATTTTCTACCGGTAATCAGGAAAATGATGCAGGCGGCACGAACAAGTGAGCCAGGTATTGTTCTTTGCGAAAAGACATGACTGAAGGGTTATTTCAGTGCAAAGACCAGTCATCACCAGTATGCTAGTCGGAGTATTGGCTATCATCCAGGCGTGACCATCTCTACCCCATTTTTTCGAAGTTGAGTCAGAACCTCGGATTTCCTCAAGGTGGCGTTTCTAGGGGTTGTTTGACCCCCTGAACACGAATATGATATCTATTTCGCACGGAGAGAGCTGTGAGTCGCGCTACAGGTGCAAATTCACTGCGCCAGCCCACCCGCAAGAAGAAAAACAGTGAAGGAAAACCTCCATAACTCCGCTCAGAGAATCGTTCCGCAAATTTTGAAGGTAGTTTCGAGTTCACTGTGTTAAGACGAGTACAATGATATGCACTCACTGCAAATGGCCAGGTTGTCCTGGTGGCCTTTCCTGGATGACACCTTACAAACCAGCACAGTTGTGTGGAGAACCTTGTTTCCGGAAATGTTCACGTCTCGTTGCGTTGATACAGATGCAAAACTGTTGCCGCAATGAGGATCCGAACCGAGTCCCGCATTGTCGTGCCATCCAGAATCCATCGTGCTATCCGCTACGCCATCCGATCCGCCAGCAATGGTCATGAAGGGAGCGCTGACAAAAACATCACTCTTGCGTCAGTACATGCCAAGTGTCTATTTTGAGGCCTAATTAGTGCCCACCTCAAACTATGCATGCTCGAAGTTACAAGCAGAACGGAGCCCATTAACATTGTTAAAACCGCCCATTCCTGTCAAATTCTTTTCACTCAGTTTTTGACCTACCCAGAAACGCATAGCAAAAATGAAACCCATTTTTGTGACCCTTGTATGGACCCCTACAACAAGCAACAAACCATTTCCAAAAAGCGCGCCATGACCTGAAACACCTCCCTTGTAGACGCAAATCACAAGCCGAAATGATTGAGAAGCTCGGAGAATCGAGTCATATGTTCTTCATGCGTTGCAAGGTTCTCAGAGAGTTCGAGGTCAAGCAAGAACTCGAGTAAAATCCAAGATGTTCCGTTATCTTCTTACCAACCGGATCGTAACCGCCTTCACCACGCGTTTTCCTTACATCGAGTCAGCATCCCTGGCTGATCTCCTTCGTTTTGTCTGGCAAAAGGGAGAGGAGCCCGACATCAGCTTAGGTTCATCATTAGATGAGTACAAATGGAAAATAATTCGAGTTCTTAGATCTTACAGGTCATGGTCTTTGGTCAAAGTCTTTGAGACATACGTACAGCTTGTTACGGGACGTACATACAGCTTGTTACGGTTTTTTGATCATTTCTGGCATGCTATCGCACTGTGTCGGCTATCATTAATTCTTACTGCACATTCCCTGAATGTGAAGGTTTTTGGGTCGGTTACAGAGAGCTAGAACCACTTCCTCGATCTCCCTCTCTCTCTCTCTCTCTCTCTCTCTCTCTCTCTCTCTCTCTCTCTCTCTTTGCCCATCTGTGGCTCCACGCTAACAATATCACAGCGGCAATGAGGGAGCTCGCTTCTATGATCTGATACTCCTATTAGGTTGTCCGGAAAGTTCTTAGCGTTTTGTGCACCTAATCTTTGTACATTCACTGCTGATTAAAAACTCATTCTGCCTTGCTTCTCAGTAGCACATCCTGTAGAGAATTTCTTGCGCTATCTGATGGTATAATTGCCGTTTCACCATTGCTTGATAAACCCTCTTTTTTCAAGATTTTTTCAAGCATGTGAAAAGAGCACTTCGGACGATTTTTTTCTTCGGCTATAAATTGGGGCAATCCGCAATCGAAACAGCTCAACAAATTAACCAGGTGTGGGGGCCCAATAGTGCTAAAGAAAGCACTGTGCGGCAATGGCTCAATAAATTTCGCTCTGGAGATTTCAGCCTTGAAGGTGAGCCTCATAGCGGTCGACCTAAAGCAATATCTGACGAGGATTTTAGGGGGATTTTGAAGGTTGACCCATCCCAAACAGTTCGAGAGATAGCAGAAGAGCTAGGCCTTGGCAAATCCACTGTTGCAGATGGTCTGGAACGCATTGGGAAGGTGAAAAAACTCGACAATTGGGTGCCCCACAATCGGAGTGACCGGCAGGAATCGGCACGTCTCGAGGTTCCTTCTTCACTGCTTTTGCGCAAAAGAATTGACCCGTTTTTGAACGGATTTGTCACCTGTGATGAAAAATGGATCATGTATGATAACAGGAGACGTTCCGGACAGTGGTTGGATTTGGAGGAACCACCGAGGTAATTTTCAAAGCCGAACCCTCGCGAAAAAAAAATTCTGGTCAGGTTTGGTGGTCATCGGCTGTTGTAATCCACTATAACTTTTCATCACCAGGCCAAACCATCACAGCAGAACCCTACTGTGAACAAACCGACCAAATGTACCGAAAATATTGTCAGCTGCAGCCAACACTTATCAAAAGAAAGGGTCCGATTCTTTTGCATGACAACGCCCGCCCACACGTTTCACAAATCACTATCCATAAATTGAACGAATTGGGAGTTGAAGTTCTACCTCACCCACCATATTCTCTAGACCTTTCACCAACCGACTGTCACCTTTTCAGACATTTTCAGAACTTCCTTGCTGAAAATTACTTCATCAATTAAGACCAGGCAAAAAAGACCTTCGCAGATTTCGTGGATTCTCGACCACCCAGTTTTTTTCTTTGATGGGATTTCTCGACTGCTGCCACATTGGCAAAAGTGTGCTGATTCGAATGGTGCTTATTTGGATTAAATCCGATGAGTGTTAAGAAAGTTATGATCGTTTAAAGTTAAACACCCAAAACGCTAAGAACTTTCCGGACAACCTAATATATTGATCTCCAGCATCGAGCATAGAACGCTGACTGCAAGCATGCAGATTGGAATGGCCGCTGGAATTTCTCAAGCACGCTCCGAGCAGTGAAAACTTCCTGGAATTGCAGGCTGGCTGAAAAAGGAGTGCAAAAATGCTTTTGAAGAAGAGCGATATGACTTCAGGGTTCAAAGAGTGTTCAAAGGGTCATCTATCTTCATGGGAATCACTTTTTGCCGTTCCCTGAATTCATATCACTCAGAAAAGCTTTCCATTTCGTACCATATATAAGAGATAACCCTGTTATGGGTATATGCATAAGTTTACCCGAAGTCATGGCTATCATGCTTTGCGCTGCTTACTATTGTGAAGGAGCGCAAGTCCAGATCAGAAATCCGTTCAGATGTTGATGGTGCACTTTGTGAACCCTTCACCTGTTTCATAGCTTAGCTCTGCGGTAGATCCTTGGCTATGAGGGCAAGTACCTCATAGCGAAGAATTTCTACTGCAACGTTGCGGTGTAGAGGACGCCTTCCGAAAAATACACTATGATGTTATTGGAAATCCAACTTGTTGTTAATAGACATGATTGATGATTTGACAGGGAGAGCAGCTTTATTGTTTATTATCATCAAGGAACAGCGGCCGCGATGACGGAGGGGCGGCAGACTAGGTTTTGATATCGATCCTAGATAAACAGGATTTCTTCAAAGCTGAAGATGGCCTGCATAGATCTCTACAATTTCCGCTTCTGGGATGATCAGTTATAATAAACCCTTCCTTCTGCTTAGGTCACCTGAAACGTGGAAGGAGGAAATTGTGTGGAAAGTCGCAAAATATCGCAATTGTCATCATTTTGCCAACACGTCGAGATGTTTTCTGTAATAAATCGGAGGTCTGCAACCCTGTGGTGCCTGCAGATCCTAGAAAGTGCTTTGTCAGCCCTTTAAGAACGATTTTGTTTATTTGTTTGTTTTCATTTATTAAATTTTTTTAAATTATTTAAAGTATTTGTTTTAATTTTATAATTCACCTATCACCCAGTCATTTTGCACGTAGAGGCTCTCTCGCATTTGAGCGCGGGCCATATGCCGAATAGCGTTCGCTTCAGCTGCGGATGCCAAAGATTTCTCTGTTCTTGTGCAGGAAACAGTCATGCGCCGACAGAAGTGCCCTCCTTTCCGAATCGCTTGCGATCGTGCGCTTAATTGCTTACGTAACTGGGGGATGGACCGATGCAGGTGCTGATCTTCCCTATCGCTTAGCCTTTTTTGTTGGGTGCTTTGTCCTGAGCTTGTTTTTCATCAGAAGGGTATGCAGCGAGAAATGATAGCCATGATTTTAGGGTCAACTTACGCTATTCCCTTAACAAGATTACTCCCTATGGACATGGTGAGGAATAGAAAGTTTTAGTGAGTGGGTCTGTAATGTAAATTGGGAAACGGCGAGACGTGGGAAGTCGTACTGGTTAAAGACAGCCCCCGCGCTCGAGTAGTACATGGTCGTCCTTCCTTGTGCAAGTAGTACAGCCCCAAGCTAGAGACTGTCCCACTCTATTCGACTCCACAGCGAGCGAGGAGCGAGCTACAGCCGCTGAAAGTTCTAGTTCTAACGCCCGCCCAGTTGGACCGCCCACTTGCTAGATGCCCTCCGACGGAGGGCCGCTCAGTTGTTCTTTGGGGCGGCGGGCATTAATCGGAATTGCATGTCCTTTTTGCTGACCGCGCTCGTGCCCATGGATAATTCTGCTCTCCTTTATTATAGTTTACCAGCTTGGCTGACGCGCACTACTGCGCGCATGGTTGATTCTATGGTAATGGTGCTGATCGCTGAGAGGATTTCTGTACTGACCCCAAACACTTGGCCCAATTGTCATTTTTTGAGATACGACCCATTTCATTATATTTCTCCTGTTTAATGAACATTTTCTAATGTCTGGTGCTTATCACATTTCTAAAAAACATTCACCATTCGTTGGAAATAGGACAGCTTAGCGGTTGAAAGAGTTTCGATGGTAATAACATGGACATCAGTGAAATATCCTCACATCGCAGTACTTTCGTTAAGCAGCTTTAGGACTTTTGATTTTTGTCGAAACTCGAGAGTTTAGCGGTCGAATCAGTCCCAACCATATCGCTGAGAGATGAAATAACTTGACTCACAACACTCCTGCCCATTGTTTCTTGTTCAAGTTCAGGCTGAACAGTAAGGTTGCGAACAGGTACTGATGCTTATAGCTCTCTTCTCACACTATATACAACTTATATCCCTCCACCAATGCTCTGTAACCTCTTCTGAATGACTTGCTGGAAGCAGTTCCCCAGTGTTGCTACAACTCGTGCCATGAACTTCGGGGGCATCCTCTACCGTCCTGCCACCCACCAATGATGGTCCCATCCTGACCCCTATCTAACTTCTTAGAACCAACGTCCCATCGTTGCTGTGGCCGCGCTATGAAGTTGGTGACCTTTTCCTTCTGAGCCCCCTTGTGGTATCTTATCAACTGTTATCTAATGGTACCATCTTGCCCCCTATCTAACTTCGTAGACCCAACGTTCCATCTTGCTGTGGCCCGCGCTACAAAATTGGCGACACTCCCTTTCTGAGGCCCCTTATGATATCTTATCAGCTGTTATCACGGCCTGTCACCCACCAACAATGTTCCCATCCTGCACCCTATCTTGCCTTTTGGAACCAACGTCCCATCGTTGCTATGGCCCGCGCTATGGAGTTGGTGACCTTTTCCTTCTAAGGCCCCTTGTGGTATCTTATCAACTGTTATCACGGCCTGTCACCCACCAATAATGTTCCCATCCTGCCCCCTACATCACTTATCAGTTTGAGCGCTCCATCGCTCTTTTGAAGGAAGTTATGAATTTCCGGTCAAACACACACACACACACACAACAGACAAACTTAGCGGATTATATATAGTAGGATTCATTGGGAGCACATACAGTCAACTCCAACCCATCTCGCAAGGTAAAACGCGTAAAAATCACGAGCGACCCAATTTTCGTGGTGCAAAAGCTCGACGCACTACTACACTAAAAGATGCACGCTACCGTAACCCTAAATTCGGACGCCGAGTTTTTGAAAGTTTCTTTTCCTTTTCAAGAGTTTTTCTTCCGTGTTTTGTTTGTTTTTCGTATTCTTTTCTTTGCATTGGATGATATCTAGTAAAGATGCGAAAAAGCGATCTGTGAGCCAGGGGTTGCACAGAGACCGTAAGGGAGCAGTTTGTTTAGAGTGTTCTTCGAGGACTCTTCTTGCTTTTTTTTCTTCTTTGGGGAATTACTTATCAGCTACTGTTTCATAATTGAAAAGCAACTATCCATGACACTTTTATCGCGGGAGCTGTCTTCAATCTGGTTTGGATCCAGCATCGTTGTGCGAAACACATGGGGGTCGCACTTGGCCGCTAAGGTGGGAGGGAGGTCGTATTTTGTCGTTGTTGGAGAGGGGGGGGGGTCGTGTGTGCCTTCGAGAGAAAGTCGTCGCGCCGGGGAAAAATTTTCGCAGTTTTTGAGTTTTCACGGTTTTCCGTTTCACATTTGCTTTATCTCCCTCCCTTGACGGGAAGGTTTTGGGGAGAAAGTAATAAAATTTTGGGAAATTTCGGAAAAAAACTGGTAGGAAGCTGGGAACATGTAGGTATTGGGGGAGGTAGGGTCGTACCGAACCCTCTTCCAAGGGGGGGGGTCGTACTGACACCACTATCTCACACCTCACGATGCTGTACGGTGCTTGGATCTGTGGGTAGAAATATTGTTCTCTAGGGAACACCATGCATTGTTTTTGAAGTGCTGCTTGTCCCAAGCTTTTTGTCACTCCTTTAGATGCGAACATTATCGGATGGAGAAATCGGTCCTCCCCTTCTTGACAAAGCACTGCCCCAAGGCCTTCGCCGGATGCGTCAGTGTAAATTATAAACGGTCTACTCCCATCTTCTGCCGCAGCAACATTCGGTTGTGCAAGTACTGGCGTGGTTGTTAACGCTTGCTTGAGATCTTCAAACCGCTTATTCAATTCCACTTCCAACTCCACGGAGTTTTCGGGCTCAACAAGTTGTACAGATCCTTTGTCATCTTGGAAAACCCTGCTATAAACTTCCTGTAATAGGAGGCCATTCCTAGGAAAGTTCTTAGCTCTGCCACACTGGAGGGTTGTGGATAGTCTACGATCTTCTTTATCTTATCTGGATCCGTTTTTACTCCCTCCTTATCGATACGGTGGCCCAGAAACGACACATTGTCTCGGGAAAATTCGCATTTCTGGGGTTTTAGTCGTAGATTTGCTTGGCGTAGTGCTTCTAGCACCTTTCTCAACACGATGTAGTGCCGTTCGTTCGAATCTGTGGCTACAAGGATATCGTCGATATACACAAAAACCTCATCTTCTACTTCTAATCCTCTCAGAACCATGTCCATCATTCTTTGAAAAAGCGCTGGACTTGTTGACAGACCGAAAGGCAACACTGTGAATTGAAACAACCCTTCACTCGTCGCGAAAGCGCTTTTCTTCTTCGCATCGTCAGACAAGCGTATTTGCCAATATCCCGAAGCGAGATCCATAGTGGAGAATACCCTCTTACCCGCCAAACACTGCAGAACAGTATCTATTTTGGGCAAGGGATATGAATCCTGTTGGATCACCTTGTTCAACTCCCTATAGTCCACGCACACTCTTAGTGTGCCATCCTTCTTCTTCACGAGAACGACTGGGAAGCCCATTCAGAGCTGCTTCTCTCGACTATGCCTCGATCTACGAGATCATTGACGATTCCTTTGAATTCCTTGCGAGCTGCGATGGGAACAGGCCTAGTTTTCTGTCGTATGGGCTTATGGTCTCCAGTATCAATATCATGAACCACCAGATCGGTGTGGCTTAGCTCTGCGTCGGTGACAGCAAACACGTCATTAAACTCTTCCAGAAGAGTAAGCGCAGCACCGGGTAGAGTGTTTTTCCGTTGAACTATTTCTACCAGCGTTTTGATCCTGTTCACGGCCGAAGCCCCCTCATTGGGTCTGTTCAGATCTAGCATGTCCCTGTCCGGCTCCACATGTTTTGGCCTTATCCACTCGTGCTCTTCCCACTCTCCTATCACTTCTCCTTTCTTGAATATTATGCCCTGATTCGAGTCATTGATGACGGGTATACTCACTTCATCCCCCTGGGCTGCACGACATACACCATCTGGTATGAGGGGGTGGTTGGAGCAGAGAACTGGTGACTTCGGAATGTTAGCCCGTGCACATGTCAATGTTAGGGTGCGTATGGCTTTAGCCGGAATATAGGTCCGTTCTTTGACTCTACCCGCGGCCTTGAAATCATCCTTGTCGGGTTCTTCACTGCTAATAGTTAGCAGCTCCCTTTTTGCCGTGGTTCCCCTTACCTAGTTTGAGATTAAATGCTTCTAGAGCGTTTGTACCTAAGGATTATCACTTCGTCTGGGCCTTTTCCCACATAGGCTGATATAAACTCCAGCTGCTCACCGAGTGTAACTGCTACGCGGACGGTATCGAGGAATTTCATCACGTTCCCGGATGCGTCTCGTACTGTTACCTTAGGCCCAGGTATGCGCTCAATGTACTCGTCCAGGTCAACGCTGCTATCCACAGCTCTTTTCAATAATTTCACGGGGATAATAGTTGTTTGTGAACCCGTATCTAGGAGCGCTGTTGCATTCATACCACAAATGGTTATATCTGCTAA